AACGCAGTTTCGACCCTAATGTACGGACCAACTGGCGGCCGACAGGAGAATGTAGCGTGCTAAATATTAAACTAGGGTACCTGCAAGGTAGGGATTGCTGCGGGCATCAAAAGCAAATAGAACCACAGTAAAGAGCGCAAATTATATCAAGCACAGTGATTACTCGCAGCGACTAGTGAGCTGTGAATGGAACTGAAAAGAAGGACAAGAAGCAATATATATTGAAGTAGCAAAGATTGAAGTAGCAAAGACCAGGGGTTAAAGGGCAATCAGAGGTGACAGATATTAAACATGTGCGATTTCATATCAAGTCTGTCAAGTCATATCTGCTCGGTGCATTTACCACATTATATAGACTATATACACAGATTTATCACACTAAGAAACCAAAATTTTATAAAAAATATAGAACTGACAGTGGCCAAAGTCCAAAACAAATGTAAGCGTAACATTAGACGTCACATGAAAAAGCTTTAGAAATTCGATAAAAATTCGATGGTGGGTCCTCGCAGACCTCGCGCGCTCACTTTTCCCTCACTAGAAACTTGTATGTATGTATGTATGTATGTATGTAAAACTTTATTTCAATACGCTAACTTCGACAATTATTTACAACTGGTTTCCACGAAGGGCGTATACACACAAAGAGCTAAATGTTAATTATATATAGAACAAAATATGTAAGAATCCCACCCTAAAATTTTATCATCTTCCTCCCAAACCTCCACCCCCTAAACAAGTACCCACCCACCCTCACGCAAAACTAACCCCCCTCCCGCCCACAATCTATATTGTCCTCCCATCATTTGGTCCTGGAGAAATTAGCTTATCATCTGCTTAAATGCAATTTCGCCATTGTTTTAAATGACGTAATTGACTCAGCCGCCTTGACATCTTGCGGGAGACTATTCCATAGAATTGCTCCACTGTATCCAAATGTTTTCTTTAGAAATTCCGTTTTCGGTTTTTTTAACGAGAGATCAGTTTCGCTATTGCGTAAATCATAAATATTCTGCGATGCATTTCTCCGAGAAAAAAGATCTTTAAGGTTTGGCGCAGTGTGGTTCCCCAAGACTTTATACATCAATACTAGCTTGTTTTGTTCTCGTCTCCTAGCCAGGGTTTCCCAGCCTAATTTGTTTAGGACTTCAGACGATCTTACATCGTAGTCAGCTCCGGTAATCACCCTTGCTGCTCGATTTTGGAATTTTTGCAATTTGTCTTGAAGTCCCAAACCACAGTTATCCCACAGGGGAGAACAGTAATCAAAATGAGGCTGAATTAATGTTTTGTAGACATCATGTAAGGTTTTGTGTGGAACATAAGGTTTTATTCTTTTAATTGCTCCTATTCCAGCGCTAATCTTATGGCATACAGAATCAATATGTTTCTCCCAACTTAATTTTTCATCTAGATTTACACCTAGACATTTAAATGTATTGGTTTGTGGGACTGGGATTTTGTTAATCTCAACGGGTCTATTTCCTATTTTATGATTTAGATTATGCGTAGATCCAATAAACATGACTTTTGTTTTTTTCCTATGATATTTTAGTTTGTTTTTAGCAAGCCATTTATGAATACTGGAAAGGTCCATATTCAAATTGTCAATCAATGTATCGTAATCATGCGAAGAGGAAGATATCTGAGTGTCGTCGGCATAAAGACATGGGGTTGTCCTTTCTAAAATGTCAGGCATATCATTAATATATAGCAAAAACAATAATGGACCAAGTATGGATCCTTGCGGAATTCCGCATATTATTGTTCTTGCAGAAGAAGTTTGATCATTAACAGAACACACTTGCTTTCTATTCCTTAAGTATGATTGGAACCATTTTAATTCAATGTCGTGAATTCCAAACTGGGTTTTAAGCTTCTCCAATAATATCTCGTGATTCACCGAGTCAAATGCTTTACATATATCAAGAAAAACAACTCCATTTATTTTGCCTTCATCCATGTCTTGTAGCCATTGATCACACATTTGTATAAGAGCACCTAAGGTTCCATGTTTTGGTCTAAACCCGGATTGAAATTTAGACAGAAGCGCATGTTTATTCAAAAAGCTATATATTTGAGTAAAAACTTCCCCTTCAAATATTTTACTTATTATGGGAAGAATTGAAATTGGTCTATAATTTTCGCATTTACGCTTATCCTCAGATTTGTAAATTGGTATAACTCTAGCCAATTTCCACTCATCTATATAAATACCAGTTCTAATCGATAGGTTAAATATAAAAGTTATAGATGGAGCAATAAGGGTTGATGTCAGTTTTAAAATATTCGCAGGTATTCCATCCATACCTGTCGCTTTTGAGACATTTAGTTTTTGTAGGCGTTTGGAAACACTATCTATAGTAATATCTGCGAAGTGAAAATTTTCTTTAGGAAGAAGCACAGTACTTTCATAAATTACTTGATCATTTAAAGCATCAGTGCTTTGACATGCTGATTCAGCAGCCATCTTCATTCCAATATTTATAAAATATTCATTTAATGTTTCAGTAATAGATTTATCATCAGAAATAATATCATCATTTACTTTCAGTTCATTAATATTTGCATTCTTATGCTTTCTTCCTAAGAGCGAATTTATCCAAGCCCATCCACTTTTACTGTCTCCCATTTGAGAGCTTGCCTGGATTTTATCACAAAAGTACTTAGATTTTGCTTTCCGCATGTTTATATTTACTTCATTACGTAGTGTTTTATACAATTCCCACTGTGACTCCGAATCATATTTTATGGCCTTTTTTTTGTGATAGTCCCTTTTTCTCATAAGTTCTTTAATTTGAGGATTAATCCATGGGACAGGGTTATTCCTTATTCGCTTGTGGCGCAGAGGGGCATGTCTATTAAGTGCATCTAATAATAGTGATTTCCAGACTTGCCAACATAAATTGGGATCTCCAAACTGATAGACCATCTCCCAAGGCAATTGAGACACATCCCGAATGAAATCATTTTCGACAAAGTTTTTAAAGTTACGAACCTGACGAATTTTTTGCCTTCCTTTCGGTAGTGTAAATTTTCTCACAGCGTAGACAAGGCTGTGATCTGAAATTCCCAGGTGAATGACACCTGATCTGGAAATATTTTCTGGTCTATTTGTTAATATTAAATCAATTAGTGTAGCTGATTTAGGAGTTAGCCTTGTAGATTCTTTAATAAGTTGGTCTATCTGATACAGAGAACATAAAAATTGCAACTTACATGTGTGAGGGTCAGGTATAGTTTTACTGACATCACAATTTAGATCTCCTATGAGGATTAGCTCCTTATCTTCATTATCACATTTTGCTAAAAAGCTTGCCCAGTAATCAAATATATTCATAAGAGAATTTGGTGGTCTATACCATGTGCTTATTAGCAGTGATTTATTGTAGGGTAAACTTAATTCAATGCAGACCATCTCAAGTTCATCAGGGATTAGATCTATTCTATCTGAGAATGATATGTTTTGGCGAACATATAGAACCACACCTCCACCAAACCTATTTCGATCTTTACGAATTATATTAAAACCATCAATATGTATCTCATTATTTGAAATCTGATTATCAATTTTGGACTCATTAATTGCAAGAATGTCAAGGGCGTTATTGTTAAGGATTAAGCGAATTTCATCCAGATGTTTCATTAAGCTATTTACATTTAAGTTGGCTATCTTCAAACCTTTACTTTTGGCGATTATGTTAATTTCACTATCTATGCCTAATAAAGAATTGCTTGGCACATCTTGACAATTTACTTGTTCACGTTCATTATCGCATTTAGTAGTTCTGCCAGATGGTTTATTGCCAACAGTATTAGCCAACAGGAGAAATCTAGGGGCCCCATCTAGCGTATTATTTTATATAAGTTTACTTGTAGGCGAAACGCCAGAAATATTTTTTGCAGGGCGCCGCATTTTAGTACTGTGTCTGGTTACTCAATTAGTCTCGAACAATGTAAAGTAGCCATACATTTAGCTGACCATAACTTCGGCCCCTTTGGACATATCTTTTTCGTAATAGTCTTATTCGAACCGGAATCCAAAACACTATTTAGAGTGTTATTTTCAAGCTTGTGTCTTCAGATTTGCATCTTTTATTTCGGTATTACAAAATATTTATATTTTTAGCTGGCCGCAAAACCGAAATACAATTGCAAATTGAATCATCAAAACAAAGCAAATCATCGTCAGTCTTTATTAGCTTCAGATAGTTAGGTTTGCCGAGCCCCGGCAACGAAAAAATTGCCTCTCGTAACCCTCTGTTCTACAATGATCCGAGCATATAGTCGAAGTCTTTGACGGCACAAACAAACGCTTTGCGCGTACAAAATCAACCCATGCTTTTCTTCGTCTTTTAGCTTCCGCCTGTTCGTCATTGAAGTATGGAATATTGTGTAGACTTATTCTACCTTTTAAACATACTTTATTGGTACAATTAGCTGCTACACAGTAAAAAGGCATATCTTTTTCGATCACACATCTACCTATATACCGCCGAGAGTTGATAGTGCCGAATAATAGAATACACGCCGAGTCGCCGACTCACTTGCGGGTCGTAACAAAATCGCTCGTTCCAGTTTCCTTCGAACACGGACGCCTGCCAACCAAAAGCCCAAATTTTGCGTGTTCAAACGGCTCTAAAATTATTTCGTTTTGATGAAATCGAAAAATTCTTTCGCTAGAACACTATACTAAATGAGTACTTTCAATAGACTGAAAAAAATTTTTTGTGTTAGGGGCACTTTAACTTTGAATAGTACGTTCCTATAAATATAAACTCATTTTGGTAAATATCATGAAGATTTTGTTGGCATCTCACTCGATTGAATAATAGTTGAAGGGTATTGTAGATGGAAATTATTGAGTGGAAATTTATGTAGATTTATTAGACCTAACCAGGAACAGCTGCAAAAAATGCATCTTTGGGTCCCTGGCAGGAATCTAACCTGCGGCCCTGCGATTCCAGTGCAGCGCTCTAACCAACTGAGCTACAGAGGCCAGTTGTCAAGCTCTTACCAAAAGTCTATGATTTTATGATTGGTTTTCTGAAACAAATGTGATCAGTGTTAATCAGGGTGTTAATGATTCTGAAGGCCGTAAGAAATTGTGACTAGTAATACATTGCTAAACGTGATGTGGTTGTCATGGTAACATGGTATTACAGCATATTTTGCCATGAAGTCTTGGAGCATAAACAGTCATAAACCTATGCACTGAGTTAGACGGTGAATGCGCTGTACAATATATCAACTTCATGCAAATCACTCCTAAAAAGTGTACGAGATCATAAAATCATATGATTTTTTTGGTGATTCAGTTTTTGATTTTTTGTGATTCGTTTTAATTTTTTGTTTAATGTGTGCCTTTTGCGCGTCATTTAAATCAGTGATTTCCCCATCTGGAGTATGTGATTCTAAAATGTTTGACGACGTCATACATAAATCTGGACAGACATCCAAAAATCGATATGTCGACCATTGCCCAGATGCTCGAGCAAATGGACTGGCGCGAGCAAAGGGAACAGCTAAGCCGCAACAGGTGGGAAAATTGACTGAGGATGTGCGAAAACTGCTCGGGTTTTCAGCGGGAGAAGAAGATATGCGTGCTTCCACTTGGTTGATTTAAAAACATAAACAACATGAACGAAGCTTCGATGAGACAATAGACAGATTTAGATCGAGGACGCGGACGTCAAAGACGACGTGAAAATGGCGTCAAAATGGCGTGTTATATCCATACATGGGCACAACACGCCATTTTCACGTTGTCTTTGACGTCCGCGTCCTCAATCTAAATCTGTCTAATTTTGCAGCGGCTGTTTAGGCCCACAAAATTGTTAGAGGAGCATGCCTATTAAGACAATTTGTAATAAGAGTGTTCAGGTAGCTTACTTGCAGATCGAGATCCTTTGTGGAATAAATTATACTAAAGAGCAGTTCTTCAAAATCACGAATGAAAGCTTCCCTATCAAAGTCACGTTCGATCCGGATAAACTTGTAACGGGCTTGAAACCGTGTGACACGTACGTTGACAGTGATGTATGGAACGTCATAATCTCCTATTAGTGGACAGGGTAGTACGTCCGCGTGGGTCACACGCGTCGGCATGTTGGTAATAGTGTGATCTATCAGTGTTGATGAGTGCTGAGTGGTTCTTGTAGGTTTTGTGATAAGTTGCTTTAAGTCCATTGTTGTTAGAATATCTATGTACTTTGAACTTGTAATTTATCTTTGCGAAATAAGTCAATGTTAAAGTCACCTGTTATAAGGAGCATTCCATCCCAGGTGATTGTAAGTTCACTCAGTATGGAATCAAAGTCCTCGAACCAATCATTATAAGGCATAATCTTTTCCGATCTATAGATAGTTCCAAGTAGCAGCTTGCTGTGTTTATTGCGGCCTTTAACGTTTAGTCACTGATGCTCCATACCCGGATATTTCTTTTCAAGGTCTGATCTGCGTTTAATATTGATAGATTCCTTTAAATAAATACCAAGACCGCCACCACGGATTATGTTCCTATTATTAAAGGCACAGTTCAGCCTTTTGAACTATGGTTTTTAAGGCGCATTTCAGCTCTTTTAATTGAAAAAAACTAACTAGGAAAATCAATTAATTAAGCCTCCTGCAACATGTCTCAATACCTGGCTACATACAAGCTTTTAAAGGCACAGTTCAGCCTTTTAAACGATGGTTTTTAAGGCGCATTTCAGCCCTTTTAATTGAAAAAACTAACTAGGAAAATCAATTAAGTATAATTCAAAATCAGTAAACTCGATGTTTTTGACAATAAAAATGTTTTAAAATGTTAAAAGCATTAAGTTTGGTGATCTTCAATTATGCTTAATTGATTTTCCTATTAGTTTTTGTCAATTAAAAGAGCTGAAATGCGCCTTAAAAACCATCGTTCAAAAGGCTGATCTGTGCCTTTAACCGTGACTAATAGGTTATCAAATGTTGTTACCATGCTTTGAACATTTTATATGCATTTAATGTAGCTGAGATTCATTCGACTTTAAAGCATTAAGGTGTAAATAAGATTCTTCGTCAAGACAACTATAAACCGAACTGTTCGAGTCGGTGACATCGACACAACTGTGAAAGGGAAGTTCGAATAGAACACATCTGCCACACATGAGATATATTAGCTTGTATAGATTTTAACTCTCTTATGATTGCGTTGTACTGCTTTATTCTCACATGACGGACATTTGAGTGACTTCATGGGCACGGGCTTGCCCTTTTTAGATACCCGAGATACAGTTCCTTTACTTTGTTCACACAAGGTCCTGGGTTTAACGCTATATCTCCGCTCAAAATTAGTCTTTGACTGGCGACCGCGTTGTTATAGTATAAAGTAAAACGCTTCGAATAAACAATCCTCTTCTGGCTGGTAGATCTTGAAAAGTTGGTACTTATAACATAAGGTGTTTTGCATTGGTTTGCTAGCATAGGACTTTTATCAGATCTTACAAAGTTAAAGGCAACATCTCATTGTTTGTAATATTTCGCCTCGGAAAGTTCGTATTCGCATAAGCACATGTCAGGTTTGATTTCGAGCTTCCTACGTCGCGTCGTGAAAACATTATGCGAATAATCGGTACTCACGTTTGTCTTTCGTTCACCTTCAAACCAACAATTATAAATGCGAACACAATCACACTGATGTCCTTCGTCCGGTCGACCCAGATTCATGTTGTCGATATACCTTAATCCATTCACAAACCGTTGGTTTTCGACATCCTGAATGTTTCTGTACGATTGAGAGTAAGACCGTAGACACATAATCCGACGCTCTCCGAATTTCTCAAAACAGTAAAAAATAACAGAAAGTTCAGAATTATCAGAGACATGGGCGTACGGGAAGGAAAAAATTAGGGGGCGGAAAGAAATTTACCCGACTTTTTCGGATTGTGCCCGAGTTGTCAAAAAAATTTTCCGGAGAAACTTTCCAAAATTGTTGTCGACGAGGGGGGGGGCTCACACACGTTGTAGTTCTTACGCCAAGCGACGAAAACCTGCCGTCTGCTTACCCGAGCGCCAAACTGAATTCCGCTACGTCGACCAATCAGAATTTACCTTCCAAATTCTGGAAAGTGACGGCAGCTGATTTAGGAGCGGAATATATATATATATATATATGTATATATATATATATATATATATATATATATATATATATATATATATATATATATATATATATATATATATATATATATATATATATATATCCTGATATACTCGAGTTCCCCGATTGATTGTTTGTTATTGTTAACAAAAATTTAAATTTCGCCTACCGCATTGCTTTTGCATTTTATATACACCAATTGTTTGCAGAACATGCGAGAAGATGATCACAATATTATTCTACGTAAACATCGTGAAAAGCAACGCTAAAGTTTCCAAAATATATCAACGCAAGTAAAAAAATTTCAACCCAAACTGGCCAAACAATATATTCCCGTGTGCAAGGGCTTTCCCCA